GGATTTGGGACCCAGGATGAAAGAGGCTCTTCCGATGTCTTAGAGGGGCTTGTCACAGTTGCTATTCCTAAAGAGGGCCCGATTTGCAAAACTAAACCCAGGGAGCCTTCTGATTCCCTGGAGGCTCTGTGCCTGCATTTTTAGTAGCTGGCGGGCCTCCTTAATGGGACACATTAGCTATCTGCAGGCGTGGATAACCACGGGTAATTGAGATAAAGCTCTGCAGAATACAAAGCCATGATTGCTTTTTCCAGGGATTAAAGTGAGATTAAGTATTTTACTAATTACTCAGCAATTACTTTCTCTCACATAACAAATTTAAATATGTATGCACATTAAGAAGAAACAGATGCAACATACCTTTGGATATTGCTAGTCACTACTTCTAGACCTAAATTACAGACTCGCTTTAATCTTTGCTAAGCATAGAAACTCCTGGGAAATACCCACCTGATAGTGCAGCTGTTAGGGTTCAAGAGCCAATTTTGAAAAGAAATGTTACTGCTCTGCCAGGTTCACTCGGTCCTCCCCGCCCCCTCCTTTTGAGCCCAGTGCTTTCCATCTGTTTGTCTAGGAATAAAAAAATAACTGAACATTTGCTTTAGATGTCCTACTTGTGTTAATCATCCAAGCTATGCCTTTGAATACTCTCAGAGACCTGGAGTTGTAAGCAGCAACCTAGGCTGCATTGTGCCTAGACAAATGTTACACTGCTAGAGAAAAAGCAGCCAGTAGGTGGTGGGCACTCCGGGCCTGTTAATGCCAACTCTGTGTTAACTATACCAGCATGACAGCATAACTGCCTATTATTATTTTTTTTCTTTAAGGATCTGGAAGAAAGGAGGTAGAGTGCCCACTATGCCAACATGAGGGCTCACTGGGGGGGGCACCCCACTGCCACAAATGCATGGGGGGCCATGCACAACAAGCAGCAGCACACTTTATCTCCTTCCTCTTCCCCATCTCTATCCTAACCAGAGGCCCCTGTCACCTTGGTAATAAATATTAAAATAAGTTTAAAATAATTATCAAAAAATCATATAATCCTTTTGTAGTTTCTTTTAAAAATATTTTGTTGCGGGGTGCAAGAGAGATCAAGCTAGACAAGTCTAGACAAGTCTAGACTTAGTAGACAAGTCTACTAAGGAGTCTACTGGCCAAGCTTGGCAATGGCAGCACCCATTACTCTAGGAACCACCTTTCCAATTACTAACTGAAGGTACTAGGCAACCATTCATCTGATGATGACAGAAATTAGCAAATGAAAAGTCACAGTGGCAATCCAATCTGAATGGAAACCCTGAGAGGAACAGAGAAATCAGTCTGTTAAACTGAAGAACTATGTTCCAGCTTCCCCAGCATAAATTATCCTGAGACATGCAGTGAACAACCTGGATACATTTACAAAACTGCAAAGATTTGCCTTTTCCTAACTTCCCTGCTTAACATTCCATTATTGCTAGGCCTCACCTCTCCTGAAATTTTTGAAAAGACACAAAACAGAAATATGAAATATCTTAGCATTTGCATCCTCACTGACTTGCCCAAGCAGTGAACAGGTGGGTGAGGAATATAGACATATAGACATACAGGGGCCATGTTCAGGGGCTACCTCTGGCCTGGGAGTTTCTGGGAACTAACAGAGCAAGCAGGTACTGAGGGAGGCCAAGAATCAGGGTGCATGAGCCACTGAAGCATAGGACCTAGAGAGCAAGACCCTTCCCATCATGGCTTTTTGGAGGGTTTGAGAGGGGAGTGGTTATGCAACAGTGCAATTCTGTCCCCCTCCCTGCCTTCAGGTTCCAGGTGATGATTGGTGAGCATCATTTGACTCACAGGCAGGCAGAAAGAATAACCTAACGAGGGGAGGTGTGACTTCCAAACTTATGACCCTGAACTAGATACCTAAGACATAACATTTTTTTTTTTATTAGAAAGGTGGAGAGAGACAAAGAAAAAAACAGAGATCTTCCATCTGCTGGGCCAGGCTGAATCCAGGAGCTCAGAACTCCATTGGAGTCTCTCATGTGTGTGGGAGGGATCCAAGAATTTGGGTAATATCCGATGCCTCCCAGGGTATGCAATAGCAAGAAGCTGAAATCAGAAGTAGAGTCTTGACTCTGAACCCCAAGCACTTCCATAAGGGATGCGACCATCTCAGGTGGAATCTCAATTGTTATGCCAAATGCTTGTTCCTTTATTTTTTTAAGTGGTTTATTTTCACCAATCAGGGCTTCTGCCTGAATACATTGAAACAGTATAAACTGCCCATCACTTGCTGTCCTTTGATTAAAAAGTTGTCCACCTTGATAAGGGTTTCTTTTTACTGAATCTTAAACCTTTGATTCTGGCTTTGTTAAAGCCACTGCATTTGCCACAGATTGCTTTATAAATAGCCTTTGTCTTTCCTGCTAATGATGTAAAAGGCCATGGAATGGTTTTCAAAACAAAGAAGAGCCTGGTTGATTCTGAATGCCTTGGAGCCAAGTCTGGAAAGTAAAGAGGGGTGATAAGAGAATGTCATTAATAATGCATGGCAAAGAGGACCTGAGGCTAAGAGAAAGGAAGCTGCTGGCTTAAAGGCTCCCCAAACTCATGAGCCACCTGCACTGCATGTAGGATGTACCCAGAAAGCCTGTGTGAGCAAGAATGAACAGTTCTGTATTTGGCCCAACCGTGTGGCTTGAGATGAGAGAAACTGTAGTCTCAAGGTGTCTATCTTCTAAGAAATCGCCAGCTCATTTCTGGGGAGTGTCAGACATGGATTTGTCACAAACCAGGAAAAGAACCTTTGGGGTTCATTGTTGCACATTGATTTTCAACATCAGAAACTGAAAAAGCTTTAAAAAAAGTTTCCCCTTCTACCAAAATGATGCAATGAGAATTTTCAAACACTAGTACTGCAAAAGACTGACCCTTGCAGGAGTGCATACGGCAGTTTGCAAGTATGGTCTTCAGAGTCAGGAGCATTGGTGTCACCTGGGAAGTTTGTGAAAATGCATGTTCCCAGATTCTTAATCAGAACTGCTGGTGGAGTGGGGGAAGGGCATTTATCTATTCTGTGTTTTAACAAGCTGGCTAGGTGGTGTTGTTACTTGGCTGCAGCTTGAGAATCCTTGATTTCTAACAGAGTTGTGTAAGCTCCCATTGTGCATAGGATTCACCTGAAGATCTCTGTACAAAACCAGAATCTGGTCCCTTGGTCTGGGATGATTCTGTCCAGATTTCTAATGAGTTCCCAGGTGAGGTTGAAGCAGCTGTTGCTGATCCTAGAACCATTTTGAGAATTGCAAGGGACCATGTCACCTGTGCCAAGAACTGCTGCAGTGAGCAGGCTCCAGCAAAATCACCCTGTCCTAGCAAAACACCCCTAAAAGAAGAGGACATTTTGTGCATAAAGATGTTAGCATTACTTTTAATAGAAAAAAGGAATACTTTAACTGCGTAGCAATATGGGTATATAGTTGATTTTTTCTATTTGTAGATACCATATTTACAAAATCACCTAGCAGGTAAAATGTATTTTTCACCCCAAAATTAATGTATTCAGTGTTCTTCCAATGTGGATGCACACAGAGCAGTAAAAAATTTATGTCACCTGACACACACGACCAAGTGAGGTCACACAGGGTAGTCTCTGCCTTGTGATTTCAGTTCTGTCCTGTTATATAAAACAACTGTCTTTCCCGAGGTTTAGTTAGTGCCTTGTTTTTTTTCTGCATTTTTATTGTGATTCTGCTGTTTTAAAATGGCCCTCAGGCATAATGCTTAAAGTACTGTCTGGTGTTCTTAAGCGTAAAAAGCTGTGATGTGGAGACAGTGCTGTGAACTTGTAGGTTAGGCCTCTGCCGGTGGTGCTGACATCCCATATGGGATGGTTTGAGTCCTGGCTGCTCTACTTCTGACCCAATTCTTTGCTAACACCCAGGAGACCGGTGGAAAATGGCCTGATTCCTTTGAGCCCCTGCACCAATACAGGAGACTCCAGAGGAAGCTTTAGGCTCCTGGCTGAGTTAGTATGCTGTTGGTCCTGAGTTTGTTGTTAATGAATCAACAATAGATATTATGTACAATATCTTATTAAAAATGCACAGGAGACAAGATTGTGTAATGATCAGTTGATGAGCATGTGACCAGAAACTCTCAGACGCTTAATGCTATATTTCTCCTAGGGATAGAGATTTAGTATTCATTCATTCAGTGTTCACAGCTATTTTAGAGACCGTATCTATTGCAAATAAGAAGAATTAGTAGAAGGTAATAACCAGTTCTATGTTCAGTACACTGCCATTTAGAAATGATGGCAGTGAAATCCATGCAGAAATAAGAGAATAGATACAGTTGGTCCTCTGAATCCACAGGTGTTGGATTGACAGACTCAACCAACTGTCGATCAAAAGTATTTGAAAAAACAATTTTTAAATCAATGTTGAGTATCTGCAGACTTTTTCCTTTTTACCCAGGTGTTGGAAACATTTTTTTTTTTAACCCAGGGCCATTTGGGTATGTATAATGTCATTCACAGGCCATACACAATGATCATCTTCAACATTAGCCTATATAGGGTTATTGAATTTTGAGTCCCACCTGCTGATGCTTTAGCAGGGCCAGACCAAATGATTTCAAGGGCACTCCCCATCCCTGTATAAACAATACAACAGCTATTTATATAACATTTTTGTTTTATTAGGTGTTATAAAAGCCTAAAGATGTGACAAAGAATGTGCATGGGCTGTGTGCAAATACTATGTCATTATGTCTAAGAGATTTGGGCGTTATTGTGTGCTGGAGGTCCTGAAACCAATCTTTCATAAATTCTGAGGGATGACTGTGATGTAAAGACAAGAGAAAATTAACAAGGGACAATTTTGAGGTACAGTAGAACTAGAGGTATATTTAAAATATTTTTCAAGTAAAAAAGTTTAAAAAGTGTGCACCAGAATTTTTTCTAGGGTGATATTTATTTTTTGCTATTTCTCAAATTTTAAAAATATTGTCAGGTTGTTTTTAAGCTTTTGCATTTTAATATCTGTGTCTTCGTAGATCTTTCAGAGTTATCAGAAGTATCTCCTTTTTACCCTCCTAAGTGACAGAGGCAGTACTTGCTGGTTGGGAACTTAACCTTAGGAGATATCTTTTCGACATTAATATAAAAGAGCATGTATTTGTCTTCCCTAATCATAATTTTTCAAATGTCTATATGTTTTTTAATGGCCTTGAAAGTTAGTCAATATATGTCTTGGGTAAGTTATTTAAAGTTTTGAAGTTTTTCCTATGTGTAGAGTGGGAATAGTTATGTAATATAGTGAGGTTTAAATGAGGTTTAAAAAAGAAAGTGTTTATAGACTAAGCATGTTCATAACATATACGAGGCCCTAGACAAATAGTAGTTGTTAATATATGAATATGTTAGCTGCATTCTCTTCATTAATTGATTACCATGTAAAAAGACTGCTAGTCTGCTGGTTCACTCCCCTCAAATGCCTACAAGGAACATAGGACTCTAAAGCACTGCTTCTGTATCTTATCAAGAAGTTACTATTTATTTTTCACATTTATTCTAAAATTCATTATTACTTGGGTGTATATTAGAAGAATTAAATAGATTTTTAAAAAATGACTGAGCCGGGCTCGGCGCGGTGGCACAAGTGGTTAAAGGTCCTCGCCTTGCGTGCCCGGGATCCCATGTGGGCGCCGGTTATGGTCGGTTATGGTCCCGGCAGCCCCACTTCCCATCCAGCTCCCTGCCTGTGGCCTGGGGGGGCGGTCGAGGACGGCCCAAAGCTTTGGGAACCTGCACCCGTGTGGGATACCCGGAAGAGGCTCCTGGCTTCGGATCGGCGCTCACTTGGGGAGTGAGTCATCAGACGGGGAATCTTCCTCTCTGTCTCTCCTCTCTGTATATCCGCCTTTCCAATGAAAAAATAATAAAAATAAAATCTAAAAAAAAAAAAATGACTGAGTGGACTTGGCACAGTGGCCTAATGCCAAAGTCCCTGCCTTGCATGCACTAGGATCCCGTGTGGGTGCTAGTTTTGTTCTGGCTGTTCCACTTCCCATCCAGCTCTCTGCTTGTGGCCTGGTAAAGCAGTTGAGGACGGCCCAAAGCCTTGGGACCCTGCACCCACATGAAAGATCCAGAAGAAGCTCTGGGATCCTGGCTTCAGCTCAGCTCAGCTATGGCCATTATGACCACTTGGGGAGGGAAGCAACTGATGGAAGATCTCTGTCTCTCCTCCTCTCTGTATATCTCACTTTCTAATAAAAATAAACATATCATGGGCCCGGCGCGGTGGCGCAAGTGGTTAAAGGTCCTCGCCTTGCACGCCCGGGATCCCATATGGGCTCCGGTTCTAATCCCGGCAGCCCCGCTTCCCTTCCAGCTCCCTGCCTGTGGCCTGGGAAAGCGGTCGAGGACGGCCCAAGACTTTGGGAACCTGCACCCGCGTGGGAGACCTGGAAGAGGCTCCTGGCTTCGGATTGGCATAGTATCGACCCGTTGCGCTCACTTGGGGAGTGAATCATTGGACGGAAGAACTTCCTCTCTGTCTCTCCTCTCTGTATATCTGCCTTTCCAATGAAAAACTAATAAAAATAAATCTTTTAAAAAAAAAATAAACATATCATAAAAAAAATGACTGAGCAACAGCTGAAACCTATCATGTGTACTATATACATTTCATGTAATTCTGGCCTTGGTTTTCTGTTTCTCATCCTCTTTTTGCCTTTCTTTCTTTCTTTCTTTCTTTCTTTCTTTCTTTCTTTCTTTCTTTCTTTCTTTCTATCTCTGAAAACAAAAAACAACTTTTATCTCTCTTATGAATGCCCATTTTATAGAACTGTTCGTAATTTAAAAGCAGATGGATTCTAAACAGTTCTTCTGGCTCTAAAAAATAAAAACCTAAATAAACTCAAGTATATTCTGCTTGAGTACCACTTTTCCTTTTTGGGAGGTGAGATGGGGAAGGATGGAGGGATTGAGGTGAAAGGACTGGGTCATGGCCCTTGAGAAGACCTTATATAGGAAAATTCCTGTCATTATCCTACGATCATATAGAGAATTGAGCTTTTGGATTGTGTTGTTGAATGATGGCCTTATGTTGTCCTATACACTGGACATGCCTAGTGAGAACAATGGCAGATATGGACATACTGAATATAAAACAATATGCTAGAGACAGTATATATTGAATTGTGGCCTAAAGAGTTCAAAAACTTACCCCCCAAATCGTATAGCTGCCTTAGTAAGAATTCCAAAATTCAAACCTGTGCATGACATTTGCTCTGAAAAAACCCACAGACTGGCAAAGAGATCATTAAAGAGGAATTGCAATACAGTGTCTGCCATGGGAGGAGAAGGGAACGCAGCAAGAAAATGCAGGCTGTCCGAGAAAGAGGTACACCCAAGTCCAACCAAGACTTGAGTGATCCAGCAGGACCCCTTGGAGGTGGTAAGGCAGATGAGCCTAAAGAGCAAACAAGCATGGAAAGAGGAAAGGCATCCTGAGTGTGTGGCACATCAAGGGCATTGCAAGTGCCACTTCCAGGGGTGAGAGAGGGGCCAGCGGTTTCAGAGAACCAAAATCAGTCTGACTGGAAAATTGCAGGGTGAATACAGACATTATGCCAAGAAGGTTGTACTTTATTATTCTAAGACTTAGAGAGTTTATGAAGTTGAGTGGTATGAAAAACATTCTAGAAAAGGTTCTCTGGCTATGGAGAGAACAGAATATGAAAAAGATTCTGATCCAAGGATACAGTTAAGGAACTGTGAAAATAGGACTGTGAAAATAATCTAGGTGAAGATGAGAATGACCTGTGCAAGCAAAGTGCACAAATTCAAAAAACATTCAGAATGCTAAGGGAAGCTTTTCTCAAGGGTAAACTAACATTTCATACTCACATAAAGTGTCAAAGATTTCAACTCATTAACTAATGAGAGAACCAGTAAAATGTTATAAGTATAATTCAAAGAACATACTTATGTTATTTGCAGAAAATCAGAAATGTTGGGATGAATATACAGTTAGAGCCCAAACCAGTTCGTATATCCACAGGGCAAATGCATTTTACCAGACAAAAACTGTTTTCATTTTTATGGACAAGAATCAATTGTATTTTATTTGCAACAGTTTAGAGTTGTCTTAAAAATAAAGAAAAACATAAATTGAGAGTTGTACAAGAGCAAAGATTTAAAGTTCATGTTCATTAAGGTGGGTGAGTTGAATTACAACAGCTGTGTAATTTTCAGTGTTCCAATTATTAAGAAAGATATTTAAAGGAGGTTCTTTATTTCTCAATTTCTAGTAAGCAAATATAGCTGCAAAACTGAAGTATATTCTTTTTTAAAGAGGTAACTAACTTCCTGGAAGGAATAGTTTGAAATCAGATAGTCCTAACAAGCCATTTATGGTGTAACCTTGGACAAGTTTTTTCATTCTCTGCACTTCAGTTCTCTCATATTGAAGTTGATAATACTGACCTCCACGAAGTTAAAAAGATTGGGACAGGTGTTAGACACAGCAAGTTTGGGTGCCCACTTCCCATGTGGCAGCGCCTAGGATCAAGTTCTGCCTCTGCTTCCTTTCCAGCTTGCAAGGCAGCAGATGTTGGCACAGGTGCCTCAGTTCTTGTCACCCGCTTGGCAGACTAGATGAAGTTCTTGGCCTGGTCACGTGTCGACTGTGGTGGGCATTTGGGGATTGTATCAGCAGATAGAAGATCTCTCTATCTCTGTCATTCTTTCTCCCTGTCAATCTGCCTTTTTTGGGGAAGGCAGATTTACAGAAATTTACAAAGAGGTCCCAAGTGGCATCAATGGCTGGAGCTAAACCCATCTGAAGCCAGGAGTCTCTTCTGGGTCTCCCACATGGATGCAGGGTCCCAAGGATTTGGGCCATCCTCTGCTGTTTTACCAGGCTACAAGCAAGGAGCTGGATGGGAAGTGGAACTGCTGGGACACCAACGGGTGCCTATATGGGATCCTGGCATGTGCAAGGTGAGGATTTAGCCATTGAGCCATTGCACTGGACCCAAAATAGAACTTAAAAAAAAATAGAAAGATTGAAATAAAGTGTGTTAAAAGTTTAATTATAGATGTTGACTTTTTTCTTTTAAATATAAAGCCTTTACATGCCTACTTTATTTTATAATATGCCATTATTTGAATGTCATCTATATTTAGCTCTTAGCTTCTCTGCTTAGTTCTTTTTGATCAGTTTGAATTTCATTTTTTAACATACTTTCTGTAGAAACACCCTCATTTTTAAAAAATGTATTTGCTGCTTATTTGAAACCCTTTGCTTTTCTGTCTCTCCCCATTATCCTGACCTGTCTCTTTCTCTTCCCAGTGTGCTTTACCATTTCATGCTTCTAGATGATTAGAATTATGTTGTGGTTATAATAGTTAATTTAGTTCCCTATGTTTTTTTTCAGTTATAACAGACATTTCTAATTCTGTTATCAATTTCTAATTTAACTTTTTTTTTAAATGTCACAATTCAGGATTGTTGTTTCTCTTGCTTAAAATGTGTTTCCTGAAATTCCATATCATTATTGTGTTCCTCTGCCATTAGCTGAACAAATACACTAAAGCCATAAACAAACATAGTCTCCTAGACCTCTTCTGACAAAAACGATTAAAGGGGGCCCGGCGCGGTGGCGCAGTGTTTAAGGTCCTCGCCTTCCACGCCCGGGATCCCATATGGGTGCCAGTTCTAATCCCAGCAGCCCCGCTTCCCTTCCAGCTCCCTGCCTGTGGCCCGGGAAAGCAGTCGAGGACGGCCCAAAGCTTTGGGAACCTGCACCCGCGTGGGAGACCGGGAAGAGGCTCCTGGCTTCAGATTGGCATAGCATTGGCCGTTGCGCTCACTTGGGGAGTGAATCATCGGACGGAAGATCTTCCTCTCTGTCTCTCCTCTCTGTATATCTGCCTTTCCAATAAAAAAATAAAAAAATAAAAAAAACAGAGCCTAAGGAACTGATCACTAAAAAAAATAACAAT